CCGCAAGATGAAGGACGTGGTCGTCGGCATGATCTGCCGACATGGCGAGATGATGGACAAGGCCGAGACGCAGAAGGTCATGCGCACTCTGCCCAAGGACCTCATGTACGACATCTTGATGCAGGTGCGACAGCAGGGTGGGTTTGCCATTTGAGAAAACGGGTGGTCGGTCACAGCCGCGAACACAGATGGGACCATGCCAGCTTGTACTCCTTTCATACGAGAAGTAGCTCTTCGCCTGTATCATACACGTACTCAATCCATATTTTGGGGTTTGGAAGTTCCGACTGGCGCCATAATCTCTCGAGCATGTGTATGGCCTGTTCCACGTTTCGCGTCCTGACCAGTTTGTGCATGTCGAGAAGGATCTGTTTGACCGCCATCCGGTCTGAGGGGTCCCTTGCCTCGGCGCCTGCGACAAATGCCGGCCACTGGCATCCTTTGAAGTGACAATCCCTTGGGCTAATGCATCGCAGTGACTCGACTGCGGCATGGGCAACATGGGAAAGCTCGGTGGAATGTTGCCCGGCTAGAGCCCTGCGGCCGTAGATCTCAATTGCACACTTGTAGGCATGCGCCAAAGATTCTCTCTGAGACACATAATGTGGTTCAGGATAGTCCACTGCCCATTGCCGACAAGAGAACTGTTCGAGCCGCTGAAACAATTGCGATGCGCGCATGGCAAAGTCTTCATGGTGATTCTCAGCCCTCGAGGGGCACAGAAGGGAGTTAAAGCCACAGAGAATGTGCGACAGCTCCGCGGGACATCCCGTCCAACCCCGGAATTCCCCACGTCTCAAGATCGTGTAAATTCCGAGTTCGGTGAAGGTCTCAGACAAGTCTGGCTTATCGCGACACAATGTTGAGCCAAATGTTTGAAGCCTGCCGGGGTTAGTTTGTTGTCTACGCAATCTGTGCCCTTGACTTACGAGACATAAATTTCTTCAAAATAAGCACCAAAATTCCAAAACGTGGCATCATGAAGCGTGGAACCCGTTTCCCTAGCTTTGACGTCACTTCTTAGGGCAGCGCTTGTTCGTGAAACCAGCAAGGCCCGCATGCCACCAAGATGATACTTCCAGGACCGATACCCAGATTCGAGAAGCTCTACCCAAATCAGGAGCAGTGTAGACACGATAACTGCGTCCGAAGGGGTTGGGCCCGTTAATGCCAATCTCATGTGCGTTATGGCTTGCTGCTTGTGCATGAGAGCGTCTGCAAAGTCTCTGGGGCGGAGTTGCAATGCTGTCGTAGGATCATTGGGCTCGACCCTGTCTGGAATTGCCTTATGAAACAGCAAGCCATGTTTCTCTGGAGGTTCCAATGTAATCTCAGAACGCGCTCGATGATGTGCCGCGAGGGATACGATGGTATGATGAACGAGTGGGTTAGACAGTGCCATTGGCATGAACCGTCTGAACGGATTTACATATTTCTCGTCGTAGATGCTACACTCCATACAACAACGTTGATCGTCTGAAAATGAATGAGTAATGAGTGTTAAGTCAGACCAAGATTTAAGACTCACAATAAGATATGTACTCGACTGACTTGATGCCATACTGGCGGAGGATTGGGTCAGCTGGGCTTTTGAGAAGTGGACCAACCTCCCATCTGTCGATTTGTCGATCATCTTCTTCTGCCGTCGACTTTACGTCTTCATGCGTTGGATTATGCGGTTTTGGGGGCTGGTGGTGATGAGCTCGTCATATTCAGACAATAAACTATGCAGATGCGGCTTACCTTGGGCCATTCGTGGTCATAATCTTTGACGGAAGGGGCTGGGGTTGGTGATGCTGGATATGGCGTTTGTTTGTGAGCCATCTTGCGGCGGCGGCCATGTTCGACCCAGACAAGAGGTTTGTTGGGTCCATACCCCAGACACTGCAACCCCGCCCGGGTGCATTTGACGCATGCCGGCTTGAGGTTGTCGCATCTCAGGCGCCTCCGTCTGCACGTCCAGCAGGGCACATCCGCAATCAGCCCGTTGAGATGAGACCATGTGCCATCCACCACATCCACGGAGCTTTTCAGACATTCCATGGTTGCGCAAGAGTTCGTGTCCAAGAGACGGCCTCAGTACGAGGAGTTGTAGGGCTGAAAAGTTTGTTGAAGAGTCGATCAGATGAGTGTCAGGGGCTGGAAAACGACTTGCGGGAGCCGAGAAGGGAGATGTTTCATCAGAGGTCAGCCAATCAAAATAGTCGGATCATCCGCTTTTGCGCACAGACATCTCGGATTCATCTTGACCAGCCATACGAAGGAATCAAGACAATCGAAGTGCCGAACAAGCCACCGAGAAGCTCGTGTAAGATGGACAGCTTTTAATGTCGAAGCCCTCAATAAATACACTTACAGATCAATTTCGAGATTTTTTTTGATGTTCAGGCCGTTTTTGACGCCTCATCATGAACTCTTTCCCTCAAGAACTCTCAGCTGCTACACATCTTTGCTCTTACACAATCCTCTCTTGATCGCCCAATCATCATGGCGGGGGCGAACGTGATTCCAGCAAGACCACCGCCCGTCTTCAGTAAGCCCCTTGTGTTTCGAGACCGTAAAATACAATCATTCTTCGCAAAAGTCGGCGCTGTTGTTCACAGCGACATTCTCGGCTGCGATCACTCCGAATGGATCCCGGTAACCGGATACAACCACCGATATATCGATTATCTTCAGACTTTCTACAGAGTCACTGGCCTCAGCTGCAGTGGTGCGTATCTTGCTACTCAGTTCACTTATATGCACTTTACTAGAACTTGGCACAGAAGGGCAGTATTGGCTCACCGCACAGGTGGGGCAACGTTTGAAGTCAAAGCCAGACTGCTTACCGCACCTGCTGTGTGCAGACATCTCGAATGCTTTTGTCGCCTTCTCGGTGAGTTGTTCCCCGGGACTTCGCGTTGATCTTCAAAGATTTCCTACATGACACTGATCTTTCAGCATCGTCCCGTTGAGCCATTGCCAGACCGGGACACCAAAACCGAAGATTCCGAATACGAAGCATCAACCTTCAAATCCGAGCCTGAACCTTTCAAATCGTTCGCAACGGACAGCACCAAACACCATAATTCCAATGCGATCGATAACCAGCCCATTCAAAATTCTGGAAGCATCGACGCTGTTCACTTGACGCAGGGAGCCAGTCCGGCTCACCCACGCTCATCGCATGATCAATCTTCTGACTCTGACTCGTCAACTGATTCATCTTCTTGCTCATCGACAGCTTCGTCACCGTCCTCAATTTCATCTTCCCGAAGCATGAACAAAACGTCAGCATCAGGTAACACAAAGGCAGCATCCAATATCGCACACAGTTCATTCCGTCCATCACAGCCGTCAGTATTGCCATTGCTGCATAGTCGTGGCACCCAGAAAGATGCACGCCCCAGCCCTAAATCCTTACCAAAGACTCGAGAGAGTACTGCCAAGTCAACCTCCAGGAAACGACCTGCTCCTCAGCGGCCCAGGCCAAGTATCTATGATGATCCCGTGGAACCTCCGGCCAAGAGAACTTCGCGTCCTCTCACCATGAATGGATGCTCCATGGCCTCCCAGGGAGCCTCCATCATACCAGACAGGCCGCTGAAGTGGACCAAGATACACAACACTCGGTCGCATGCTCGCGAGCCTCAGCCATCCGACTCGACTCCGATGTCCACCCAGCCACCAACGCAGTCGGTCGAAGTCGTTTCCCACAAGATTTTCTCTGGTAAGGACAGCGCATCCCAGGGCATTGTACCGAATCTCGTCATACCAGGAGAATCGACACCGGAACCCGTCGTCTCAGAGATGGTCTCTCCCCAGCTTGGGCCGTGCAAAGCATGCGACGAACAGCCCTGTGGGCACCTGCGACACTTTTCAGTCCAGCTGGACGAAGAAGATGTTGAGATGCTCGATGCAACGGATGAAGTCAACATCGCCATGAACAACTGCATTCAGGCCAATAGGCTCTACGACACTATTCTCATGGCCGAGAAACCGGAGCTAGCTAAGAAGATGGCGAAGAAGGCGGTCGATATCGCGCGGGATGGGGCAGCATTTGTATCTGACTTTCGGAACCTTGTCGAACTCAACATGAACTGGATGAAAAGTTTCCCGACACTTGAGAACGCAGGGGACTTTGACCCGGTTCTTGTCACCATTCCCGCAGAGGACAGAGAAGAGATGGAGATGCGTGCTCTGGTCAAGCCTCTCAGCAGCTACTTTTGGAACATAACGGCGTTGATCGAGTCTTTGAATCTCCAGACCATACTTGTGGCAGGTGTCACCGAGCAGAAGGCGGCAAAGTGGATGGGAGACGCGCGGTGTGACGCGCTGAAGAATGCTCAAGATGCAGAGCGGGAGTTCAACACCGTGATCGAGAGGTCCTTCCAGTAAAGCGCTTGGCGGCTTAGCTGTCTTGAATTTTAACGTATGGCTTTGTCTTCATCGCCATCATTGGGCTTGTGTGCAATTGATTATTCCATCGTGGTCCCGTACACGAAGACACCCTACCGTTTATGCCGGTCCAGTTCAAAGACTGTGTCTATCACGGGTGGGTGTACTGCAAAATAATGAAAAGGGATCTTCCACCAGTCAACTTTGGAATTCGACAAGCCGTTACGTTTGCGCTGCTTCCGCGCTGCTCCCGCGCTGCTGACATCTCGGCAGTTGTTGGCATACGGTCTTGATTGGGCGGTCGATTAGAGCTGCTGTCTGAGCTCATGTTCAACCACGCGGGGTATGTGAGACATGAACTGCGGGGATATTAGAGGAGCAACAACGGTTCCAACATGATCCATTAACAACCAAAGGTGAAGAATCACTTTTGTGGATAGCCCAAGGCTTTAACAGCGAGCGTCTTTGAGTGCTGCCTTGAAAGTGGTCGGTTGCATCCTTCGAACGAGGAGACGGTTGAGCGCTGGACTGACTACCATAGACTATTATCGGCCCGGACCATGGCAACTTCAAGCCATGTTTCATGGCCACAAGGCCGTTATACTGCGTGGGGACCAACAATGAATTTCCAGGCGTTTCCAAGAAATGTGGCACACATCGACAACCTCAAGTTGGACCCAAAGCTACAACCAAAGGACTATCATATCCATGGAAGCAACAAAGACTCGAAGATTCTTTTCACGGAGGTCCAAATATTGGAATCGACAGGTCGTCAACCATACCCAGGCGATGTTCTAATCGAAGGTGGGTAACTTTGCCTAGGAAAGATACACTTTTGCGTGCTAATGGTATTGCAAGACGAGAGAATAACACATGTCGGAACCGTTCCCGGAAAGGAAGAGCTCAGATCAGACCCTTGCGTGACGGTGTTCCACAGGCAAGGAAGGACGCTGATGTCAGGGTTGGGTGACGCTCACGCACATTTGACCTGGAACGGAGGCGACTTGGCCCGCCTGGGAGACTTGCCAGTAGAGGAGCATGTACTTTTGACAATCAAAAGTGCCAAATGCTTTCTTGACTCGGCATACACGATATACGCATTCCCTTGGTGCTTGAATCAGACGGGTCTCATCCTGATTTATAGGTGTTTTGGAGCTGCCGCAGCAAAAGACCGACTTGATGTTGTTATCCGAGAGGCCATAAACTCTGGAGACATTCCAGGTCCCCGATACCTAGCCAATGCAAGAGAAATCGCGAAACCAGAAGGCGATCTGGTGGCCTCCATTACCAGATTTGCCGAGGGCCCCGAGGGTACACGTCGTCAATTTTAACACCAAAAGAACTAGGCTGATAAAACGCAGAGATGCAACAGGTTGTTCGCTCAAATATCCAGTGCATTGGGGTTGATAACGTCAAAATCAGCATGTCAGGCGAAGAGATAACAGGCAACCGCGCGGCAGAAGACTGCTACTTCACCGCTGCAGAAACTGCTGCGTGCGTCGAGGAAGCTCATCGCCATGGCAAGAGAGTATGCGCACATGCCCGAGCTCGCGACTCAGTGAAGATGTGCATCAGTCAAGGGGTGGACGTCATATTCCATGCATCCCATGTTGACGACGAAGGTAGGACTTCAGAACTTTTGCTTGGCTGTCTGCCACAAGCCTAACAATACTGAATACATGTAGGCATGGAAATGCTGGAGAAGAAGAGACATACGAGTATCGTTGCACCGGCGATCAACTGGCTCGTGGCCACTGCATATGAAGCCGAAGCGTTTGGATATACGCAGGAAGCTGCTGAAAAGGCGGGATATGTGAGAGAGCTTGATACTGCGGTTGCTGGGCTTCGAGAGATGCATCGACGCGGCATCGTCATATTGCCTGGAGGGTAAGTACAGCCTCGTTTGTATACCTAACACGATGCCTATACTCATGCACGTGTAGGGACTATGGCTTTGCGTGGACACCACATGGCACGTATGCTCGAGATCTGGAGCACTTCGTCAACTTTCTCGGATTTACGCCGCATGAAAGCATCATTGCTGCGACCGCCGGCGTAGCTGCACTCTTCATGAGGAGTCATGAATTGGGCAGAGTTCGGCCAGGATACCTTGCAGACTGCATTCTTGTAGATGGTGATCCGCTCAAGGACATTGGTATTTTGCAGGAACATAGCCGGCTCAACGTCATTGTCATCAATGGGAAGGTCCACAAGGCCGGACCATTCGAGTATTACCGAGATATGCAGCGGACTTAACATCGCGTAAGTACTTGAACTTCTCCATGTGTGGCAAGCTCCGTAAACAGGCGATAGATGGCAAATATCTTAGGCAAGCAGAATGCAAGCGGCTCAGGGCATAGTCCAAAAATAGTCAAATTGTGGAATAAAGATTGCTAATTTGCTCAAATTCAGCTGTTAGAACGGGGCACCGGAAAAGCCGCGCTCCTGGTAAAAGCAGTTGCCGGTGTTTGCTCTAACGTAGCGAGAGCTCTGTTCTGTACGGTGGGTCGACAACTGTCGTGAGATGAAATACCGAGTGAATACTCATCATACGAAGAATTTGGCTAAGCGGGCGGTACCCCACCGATTTACCAGCGATATGGCTAGCCGAACAGGACTTCGTAAGTCGATTCAAAGGCTGCGCGCGGGTAATCGATAACTTCGCGCGCGCGATCGACTTCGCGATATTGTTTGCGTACAACGTTGTACGTTGTACGTGATTCGCTACGCGATTGAAGCTGAAAGTCAGATTGGTCGAGATTAGTGGGATTACCGCCCGGTTAGCCAGAAACTACCGCGCCGATAGTAAACTCAATACGAATGAATTACTTCGTCTCAGTATGTCCATTGAGCGTGAATGAGTCGCGGATGCAGACGTTCTCAGCGGAAATTGACAACTCCGATCCCACTGTCGGCCTATAATTTGACCGTCGAATGAAGAAGAGAACACGAGAGGAAACGTGTACGGGCATCATCTATATTTCGTGGGAATAGAAACATGCCTTTGCGGCCTTCGGTGTTCGGACAATAACGCGCGGGCCGTCCTGGTGCTGGGTCTGTAAGTGGAACTATCCCACATCGGGCTCAGCAGATACCCCGCGTCCGGCTAGAATCTCAACCGTCGTCCAGACTGACCGCTGTGAAACGCGGGGAAGACAGCGGACAAGCCTCGATTCATGGACGGTAGTCGGTGTCGGCGTGGGCGATCCCCCACCGGTTCCGGGCGGGTTTTCCGGCCCCTCCCTTGGCCGTCAGCGATATTCAAAGGCGAGGCATTGGCCGCTGAACGCCAGGTTTGAAAGTCTGTTCTCACTTCAGTAGTTGCCTCTTTAAGCTCGTCGACATGCTTCTTTTGAATTTCGCGGCCGTTGGCTACGGCCTGGCGGCCATTTTTGCCGTTTTCGTTGCTCGAGTCAGTAACAAGATTCCCTTTAGATGAACTCACCGCGAGGGTTAGGTCTAATTATTCTTGACAGATGCTGTTCACCGGCTTGACATGTTCCCTGAGCCATGTTCCTGGACCATGGTACACGAGGTTCTCACACTATGGTTTGAAGTTCCAAACTCTCACCGGCCGACGCATGCACTATGTGCATTCTCTCCACCACCGATACGGGCCCGTCGTCCGGATTTCGCCCGCCGAGGTTGCCGTCGCCGATCCGGAAGGCTTCAACACGATTCACAAGATTGGCTCGGGCTTTTTGAAGGGGCCATGGTATTCGACAGTCACCGCTGGCGTCGAGCCGGGAATCTTCGCCATGGTCGATCCGAAGAAACATGCTGCGCGCCGAAAGCTCTTTGCTCGGGCGTTCACCAGTGCCTCGCTGCGACAAAATTGGGAGCGTATCGTCCGGCAGAAGGTTGAGCGGGCTGTCGAGCGGATCAAAGCCGAAGCCCTTAATGGAAAAGCCGACGTTCTGAAATGGTGGACATTGATGACGACCGATGTTATTGCCCATCTCTCGTTTGGAGAGTCGTTTGAGATGCTGGAACTGGGGGAGGTATGACTGCTTTTCCATTGAAACCCCTTCGCGCCACTTACACCGAGCAGAAAAACAGTTACATCAAAGCCCTGGAATCCGTCTTCATCTTCACCACCCTCCGCAAGGAATTGCCGCTGCTGTATTTCTTGGCACGACTCCTCCCAATCCAGTCGGTGCAGAACATCGTGCAAGCTCAAAATATTGTGGACGCGCATGCCGTCAGAGCCGCTGCAAACTTGCGCCAGAACGGGCACTCCGCAAACCTATTTGGCAACATGCTCGCCGAGTGCGAGGCCGGGGAGAAGTCGGACCTGACTCCCGAGAAGGTCCAAGCCGAAGCCGGGAACCTCATCGTCGCTGGGTCCGATACAACGTCCGTGACATTGACGTACTTGGTATGGGTTGTACTAAGGAAACCTGATCTACAGGCGAGATTGGAGGAGGAGCTTGCCGGACTGGGTGACGACTTTGACGACGCCGCTTTGGAGAAGTTGCCGCTTCTAAATGCGGTGATTGACGAGACTCTTCGTCTCCATGGCGCTGCCCCAGGAAATCTTCCTCGATCAGTGCCTCCCAGTGGCGCAACATTTGGAGGTTTCTTCGTCCCTGGAGGCACCGTAGTTGAGACGCAAGCGTACACCCTTCACCGGCACCCGAACGTATACCCCGATCCGTTGAGGTAAGTTGGTTTCCTATTGCTACATCGCAGTTTTTCTGACTTCATCGCAGGTTTGATGAGAGGCGGTTCCTCGACCAGGAGTCGCTTTCGAAGCAGCAGAAGCAGCTGTTCTCGCCCTTTGGAGCCGGCACCCGCGTCTGCATCGGGCTACACCTGGCTCGCATGGAGCTGCGACTTGCCACTGCCGTCTTCTTTCGGAACTGTCGGGGCGTGCGACTTGCGGACAATATGACGGACGATAAAATGGAGATGCAGAACTTTTTCTTGATCAGCCCGGTCGGACATCACTGCGACGTTACTCTCAGGTGATTTTGGGGGAGCAAGGTATGTGTTGATTGATCAAGAGGGAAAAGCCCGGCAGGAAGTAATCTGCGACTGAAAGGGGTTGTTTGCCTGAACTCTGCGCTTTCTTTGATGGCTCTACTGGGTTAATCAAGCAAATTGGACTCATATGGCCCTCAAGAAGATTGATGTCACCTCTAAGCATGTCAAAGGTCAACGGTTCGTACGTGATGAGAGTTGTGATTCAAAATGGCCAGAATCTAGTTTGGTGTGGGACTCATCCTGGTTGCCTGGGCATGTGAAGTTGAGGAAATAGGAATAAACAACTTCATCTGAACCAGTCGGCTCCGGGCCATGCAACAAAGGCAGCACAGATTATTATGCTGCAGGCGCATGATTTCTCTGTGTCTCCCAATGAGATGGCGCCCGGGCTCGGCCATGACGTATCCAGCTTTTGTGGGCCCATGATGCAAGCAAGACGAAGGCTGGGTATTTCTCCAACTCGTCCGCAGCGTCTCACATGCAACTGTTCTTGATTCCTGCCTCTCACTAATACCAGACCATCAGAGAAAAACCAAGCAATTTCTACTCAAGAACCAAACCGAACTCCGAAACATACCCAAAATGCCCATCTGGAGCTCCTCATTCGTTTCCTTCTCCTCCTCCGTCTCCGTCAACGGCAAGGAGAACAGCCAGCGGTACGCAAAGCAGACACAGCGATCGCCCGACGGCACAACGGTCAAGACCGCGTCCCAGAAGGGTGGAGGCCCGATGTACACCGAGACCCTGCAATACGATTCCCATGGACGCCCGGTCGTAGACGGCCGCGCGCTGCGGAGCGGTCCAAGAGAAGCCGGCCGTATCGAAGACGTATCGGACCAGAAGTCGTAGAGCGGACGCCGCAAATACCAAGGAGGAATTTAGCGGGGGCTGTACAGGTTGATGAATATTTAGAACGGAGTCATGGCAATGGGAAAGATGTATACTACAGCGCGACAATAGCGCGGGTCCAATGATTACAGCATGATACAATTGTACACATTTGTCACAGGAAGTGCTTGCAAACTGCACAAGTTTGGCGTTGCTCATGGGATGAGCTACATGGTGGTCATAACTGCATTAATTAAGCTGGCAACGCCGTCTAGCTGGCACTCCCAAAGCTACACATACTGTCTAGATCTTGACAACAACCTTGCCAAAGTGCTTCTGGTCCCACTGGTACTGGTACGCCTCCTTCACCTCCTCGAACCCAAAGATCTTCTGGTCAACGACAGGCTTGATCTTGTTCGCGTCAATCGCCTGGTTCATCTCGTCAAACTGCTGCTTCGAGCCGACGAACAGGCCGCGGATGGTGCAGATGTTGGCCAGCGCATCGAGCAGCGTCGGCTGGTCCTTGGGCGCGTCGCCGTGCGAGAGGAACCCGATGATGGAGATGACGCCCTCGAGCTTGACGGCCTTGAGCGACTGCGCGACGGTGCCCGGCCCGCCGACCTCGATGATGTGGTCCGCGCCCGCGCCGCCGGGCGTCAGGCCCTTGGCGACCTCGCCCCAGTTCGGCGTCTCCTTGTAGTTGATGACGTGGTGCGCCCCGAGCTTCTTGAGCTGCTCGCCCTTGGCGGCGGAGGACGTCGTCGCGATGACGGTCGCGCCGGCGGCGACGGCGAACTGGATCGCAGACAGGCTGACGCCGCCGGTGCCCTGGGTGAGGACGACGTCGCCGGGCTTGAGGGCCTTGGACTGGATGCCGTAGAGGGCGTTCCAGGCGGTCAGGGGCGCGCAGGGGAGGGTGCTGGCCTCGATGGCGTTGAGGGTGGACGGGGCCTTGACGAGGCCGTGTTCAGGAAAGACGGCGTACTGGCGGAGGGTGCCGTCGAGGGCACCACCGAGGCCGCTGCGGACGGCGAGCGGGGTGATGGGGTTGGACTGGTGGTGCTGGTTGAAGAGGGTGCAGATGTCGTCGCCCTCGGCGAGCTGGGTGACCTTGGGGCCGACGGCGAGGACGCGGCCGGCGCCGTCGGAGGCGGGGACGCGGGGGAAGCTGACGGGGAAGGGGTAGAGGCCCTGCGTGCGAGGGTGGTGTTAGTGTTGGTGTTCTGAAGAGGCGGTTCATGACAAGATGGGACTGACCTTGGGGATTGCGAGGTCGCGGAAGTTGAGCGAGACAGCTTCGATCTGGACGAGGACGTCGTAGTCGCCCAGTTGCGGGAGGGGAACGTCCTTCTTGAACTCGAGGGAGTCCCAGTTCTCCTTGCTGGTGCCCGTGATGGACCAGGAGTTTGTTGTCGTCGGGGCCATGGTGAAAGTGTTGATGATTGTGTTGCGCCGCTGGATCTTGTTCAGAGACGATGTTTCCGAGGCTCAATCTGCTCACGAACCACTCCATGAATGAGGCGACGCCGACTTTTGAAGGCCATTTTGCGAATCGTGGGGTTCGCAGCTCCGAGCTTCCAGCAGAGTCGACATGACGCAATGTTC